GGCTGTCTCTCAGCCGACTGTGTCTCAGCAGGCTGTCTATCTCAGTCTCTCTCAGTAGCACATCTCTCTCTCAGCAGTGCATGTCTCTTGCGTCTCTCTCTCAGCAGCATGTCTCTTTCAGCAGCACATCTCTCTCAGCTGGCAGTCAGAGAGACTCCTTCTGCCTCTAGGACAGCTCATTTTGAGCCTGGCAGAGTGGCAAAACTAACCAATCCCAACATCAGAATTCTACACACCTGAGAGAGTGAATTTTCCCAGAAAGTTGCTTCATGCTGCCTCAGGTGGATGACTTTAACTAGCAGCTACTCAGTTGCTCATGGAAAAGTGGGAGTTACAAAGACTGGGGCTAGAAAAGCCATACCATGTAATTTACTTCACTGCAACTGGTCTCCGTAGGGTTTTCAGTGACCGACTTTTCACAATTAGATCAGCAGACTTGTCTGCTGAGGTGCCCCTGGATGAGCCTTTAACCTTTTCATTAGCAGCCAAATGTGTTAGCTGTATGCACCACCCAGTCATCTCTGTTTTCATAGCCTTCTCCTAATGTTGACTATGAGATATGTGTGTGTGTGTGTGTGTGTATTCTACAAGTTTTATTATTATTTTTAAATTTTTAGCACCATAGTCAAGTGAAAGACCACACTGTGTAGCTAAATAGGATGGTATGAGCTACAGATACCCAAATGCAGACTGAGCTAATGTGTCAGTTTCTGCAGCTGTAACAAAAGAGTGGATGGCTCACCTCTTTATTCATCAAGCTGTCCATGTGCCATGTTCTGTTGGTGAAACCGTGAGACGGACAGATATGGGTCTCCCAGCAGCTCTCTGTCTAACAGGGGATTTAGATGGGTAAATGCTACCCAATGAGATGGTTTGGTGAGTATTGTGATTGGGGAAGTAAAGGTCCTAGTGACAGAGGAGTAAAGAGGAGCTGGTGTGGAGCTGGAGGTGGTGGTTCCAGGCAGAGAGAGCACAGGCACGCCTGACAAAGGGAAAGTGCACATTGCTGGGTGCCTGCTTAAAGTATGAAGGGAGACAGCAAAGGTGAGCTGGAAGGACACACACGGGTCTGATCACAGGGGTTTCCAAGAAGGGGAGCAACATGCTCAGAGGTGTGTTTAGCTCATCCTGTCTGCAGTTTGGGAAAGGCCTTAGGAGAGTGGAGGCTGGAGACAAGGAGGCCGGCTAGAACACAGTGATGGGTAATGGTAGCACAAACTGGGAGGGGTGGGGTGTGGCCTGGAGAGGGAACAAAGCAGTGGCTTCCTGGAAGTTGACATTCAGCCATGGTAGGTGCTGGAATCTTCTGTTTTCATGATCCCTTAAGTTGTGCCCAGCAATTGAAGGACATGTATTTGTTTGCATTGGACATTAGGACCAACTTAACTACCAAGAGCCCTAGGAATGCCCAGGGCTTTTGTGGGTCCCTGGGGAAAGAGTTCACTCATCACGCTACTGCATGCTGCAATATGCTTGAATTTAGATGAGCTTGCAGCCAAGCCTCTGCTTAAATATTTGCAGTAACAAGAAGTTATTATTTCCGGAGGCAATCTGGTCCAGAACTGAGATTCTAAAGCTGCGAGCATCTGAATCACACTGAGAGACTCTCCTTCCTCCTCCATCTGCTGGTTCTGCTAGACATCCTCTTCTTCCTGTACCTTCTGCCTGGGTGTTTTGAATATTCCGTTGTTTGGCCTGGCTTTCCAGATTCTTTTCCTCCTGATCCTCCCTCCATGGACTGGGTTTGTTGGTATCCTCAATGGCAGATGGCCAGGTCATCGGAGCCTTGCATTGGTCCACTGGGGCCTTTAGAAAGTCTAGTTCCCCGGTGGACTTTGAGGACCAGTGCTGTAGTTCGGGTCTAATCTCTACCTCCTCTGCTCTTTTGTCCGCTGGGGGAAGCAACAAGGTATATGGCTCCCACTGCAAACCATGGTATAACCAATTTACCATATTATTTAGCTAATTAGTCAAGAATATACTCATGGGAATGTAAATTATAGTCAGTGTTACATTTGGGGGAACGAAGAGAAGAACATTAAAAATGATGAACTTTTTCTTTTTCTAAAATTTGGCATCATCTTCTAAGGACATTCAGTGAAATGCTGCTTTCATGGTGAAGGGCTTCCTTTTCAAGAGGTTCCCATTTGGGCAGCAATCAGCTCTATATGTGACAATTGGATGACAGATTCAAAACACTGCGAGTCCCCTGGGGTCCTTGTCATTAGAAAGTTCCACAGTAGAAAAAGGCTGTGTTATCAGCACCCACAGTTGGGCAGCCATCTCTTTCTCTCCCTGCCTGCACGTTTCAGATGACTTCTTTGGCTGATCTTCTTTATAACAATGCTGAAAAAATTCCTGCCACTCCATCCATTTGTTGAGAACTGTAAATCCAGTGTGGTGTGGAAAGGCAGTGCTGAGGGCTCCCAGCTGAAGATACTGATTCATCTCCTCTGACTGTCAAGGATACCAATAGGTAGGGAGTTGCAGGTCTCTACCAGGTATCTGCAGAAATGCCAGTCTACCCCGACAATACAAGTGGCACCATGTCTTGACAGTCTTCTAGTGGAATCTACTCTCTTCCCTGAGCAAACAGTGTAGATGTCATGTTGTTGTGGTGATGGTGGTGGTGCCATTGGGTCAATTCCAACTCATTGCAACCCCATTTGACAGAGCC